TGCTCCGCCTAACCGACCACTCAACAAAGCAGTTAGTTTCAGGTATTCCGAACATTTTAGACCTTGTTTGGTTCTAAAAAACAAATATACGTGGGTAATGTTGGCCGAGGGCCGATTTTTTTTATAACAACATGATCTTTTTTCGTCGATACCTATTTAGTCTCAAGTTTTGCAGACTGCGATTTAGATTTTATAAAGAAAAAAATACGGTTTTCGGAAATAAAATTTATACTTTTATATTCACCCAATCAATTACATTAAAATTAATTTCTCCAATACGTACATAGTCTAAGCAATAACCGCGTTATCATTACATTTTATTTTGCTCGCCAAATGAATTAAAATATATAACATACAGCCTCTGTGGATTTTCCAGAGTTCTTATTACTCGTCGAAATGTTTATAAAGCTTAAGAGAAATTTTTTATATATTTTTCGTACTAAGTTAAAAAAAAATTAGTATATGTTCGTTTGGCAATATTTCTGTTTTAGAATTGATGCTAGTGAATACATATCAATTAGGTTACTGTATCATAATTGACGGTATGAGTGTGATATGAATATTTTGATGTTACATAATAGGTTCTAAAATGTGTTTCTCTTTGCATTGTTTTAAGTTTTTTTAAAGGTTTTTTTTTATACTAGGTACTTAAAGGGATTTGTACGCTAATGGTTTGCGAAGAAGTGTATGAGAAGGTATAGTGAAACTAAGATTTTTGAAATACTGTAACGGGCGCGCGTGTTTACTGATTTCGGACCGCGATAAAAATGCTTGCAGCTTTTGTGTCGCTGACGGGGCGGCAAAAAAAAAAGTGTGTGTATATATATATATATAAAAGTTAAGAAGAAGAAAACCAGTGTAATTTACTATCAGGATCCGGTCGAGAAAATCTTGCACACCATATAAATTATTGTGTTGTGTGTGTATTTATATATATATAAAAAAAATAAGAAAGTCGACGGCGTTACAAATTAATCGGGGGCCGATCCTCTCCTATGATAAACAACAAATGGGGATAGGTTGGTCGTAGAAAGTAAGAAAAAACACTGGGAGGGTTGGTGTTACTTTATACAGCTGTTCTAAGCGTCTGACATTTCTAAAGTGGTCCACAAGCTGACACTGCCCGTTAAGCGTGCTCGCCTAGATTGTTTCTTTTAGTGACATGGCGGAAGTTCTGTAGAAACGGCGTATATATTTAATGTTCTATTATCGAAATGATCAGTAAAGAAGCTTTGAGCTAATTGGAAATAGCTGTTCGCGCCGAGAAGAGGAAGTATTCTTTATAATGATTTCGTTTTCGAATATTCATTGTAATATTCTTCTAACAGTCGTATTTTTGTTGCGAAAATAAATCTGGAAACATTCAGAGGTATTTGATTGACTTGTCAGGAATGTACTCGTTAAATAATTTTATTGGAAATTTCCCTTTAAGTTTAATATGTATTTATTAACTTGTCTTTTTTTTATAATTCTTGTTTTTTTTCTGTCCGACTTTCCTTTTGAATTTTTCAATTTTAATTCGATTTTTGCCCATCAACCTTTTTGCCATTATAGAAGTGTTAAGTCCCGAGCAAAAATATTTTTTGTTGCTGTTTTTATCGTACATAGTCTGTCTGGTCGTCTATTTAGATTTTTACAAACTACAAAATTTTAATACTTAATTTCTGTTAAAATCAACGTGCACGTCTTGTTTTTAATCCTTTCGGAGGCCCATTTAGGCGTTTGTGGCATATGCAATAAGGTTCGATTTAGTGTGTTAAATAAAAAATTGCCATGATTTGTTTTGTGACATAGACTGTCACTTAGAGTAATGATGTATGAACAATTAACTACATGAACATGTTTACAACAGTTTGGCTGTCTATCAAAAAGCAAAATGACTGAATAAAAAAACTGCACAGGTCAAACTTTGGTCGCTATCCAGGTAAATTAAAAGTTATTATTTTCCTTGTCAAAAAGCTGACAAGTAACAAGTTTGTTAACAGCGATGTATGAAAAGTGTTCAATCAATTGTGCTCGAATAGGGTACGGTACAAACGGTGAATGATTGCCGAAGTACACATTAACTTTTTTGGCATTGTGTTTATTAGTTTAAATCTAATAGGCGTGTATAATTTATTTATTATTATTGTACTGCTTAAGTGGACAGTGACTAACAAAATTGGCTGGTTTAGTTTGGTCAATGGTTTAACAATGATATTATAAAATACATTTTTTTGAAAAATAATTTCATTGCAACATTTGTAGCAATTTATTATTTATACAACTATTGACCTGGCTAACGTCCAAGCGACTGTTGTTATGTGTTTGTTTTAAAATAATAATAAAAAAAAAAATGCATTGTTTTTAGTCGAATTTGAACTACAGAAAAAGGTTAGTTCGGACTTTTTTTTATTAGCAATAATTATAATAGATTTGCTAAAGATTAAATTAGGCACTTTTTTTTTTGTTTCAATGGAGATGATTCTTATTAATGCTATAAGGTTATGGTGCAGTGACGCGGCACGTTATGTATTTTTTCGAAATTACCTTGATAATTAAGCGAAGAGAATTCCCAGTTGGTCTATCAATATTTAATCACATTTTACACCAAATAAAATGACCCTACTGTATATAAGCGTCCGGAGGTCGTTAATAATAGATTCATTGGTCGACACGAGTACACCGGCGTTAGATGCCCTGTAGGAATGATAGTTAATATTTACGAGTTGATTTTTAATTCTAGATAATAATGTAAAAAAAATATACAACAATGAGAATTTACCCACTATATTTATTTCAATGATATAAATGCTACGTCGTTACATGAAATTACTTGATATCAAAGTTTAAATTTGTTACTTAATTATAACGTAAGAATTTTTATACCTTCTGCTATGTGTGACACAGTGGAGCAAATGGTAGCAATTATCTCGAGTAGCCACTTTTAAAGGATTTATCTTGAGAGTAAAATTACTTCTTTTTTACCATTAAAATGTCTCTTTATAAATTGGAATTCGATAAACTGTTATCTTTAGAGGCATTAAAATATTTTAAATCAATTTTCCCTAGGGAAGAAAAATCTTATATACGTCTCTGAAGTCGTATATTAAATTATTTTGATTGTAAGAACAACGTTTAAGTTTTCCTAAAAAGTTGAGATATTACTGCATTGTAATAATCACAACATAGTGGAAAATAATTATTATACATAATAATTATTAACACGTGTTAGGTTAACTTTCGTCGTTTTTTTTTGTGTCAGAAATGTTATATAAAAAAAAAATAAATAATTGAACATATGAGATTTTACTTTTTTGCGGTTTTCTTAATCATTTGATGCAAATAACCTTTATCGTAGTTCGATCATTTATTTACGCAAAACGTTGTCAATGAATAGAATATTCATGAAGATCAAACATACATATTCACAAGATGATCCAAGTCTTCGTGTTTCAAAGAACGATGTGGGGAACACTTGAATGATTTTTGGAAACCTCTACCGAGTATATTCGAACTCTTTGATCCCTATGTGGACTATATTGTATTGGTGTCATTTAGTATAAAACACTTACCATTGGGTTGGTATCAAATTCTTCTATAGATTTAGTAGTCATATGTGACACTTGATCTATTCGTTTCAAAGCATTTTCATGGGAAATATTTAACGAACTCTTTACATACAAAGTATATACACTGTATACAAAATACATAATCACTGTTTTTATTATTTCATGTTTATCTTTATAAATGTCTATTTTCTGGGGTAGAATTTTATATAAAATACTATATATACAAGATGGAACAAGACTAATTATAATTTCGTTGTATTTTTAAAAAATAATTTGTGCTTTCTTATATTAAGTTGAAATAATATATTTTATTTTTTGTTTTTAATAAAAAAAAAATTTTTTTTTTAATTATAAATTCATTCAAAATTTCAGTCGGTTTTAAGTACTTTTCTTACAAAAATGATTAATATGTCGATAAAAATTTTGGAATAAGTAATTATTTAGTTACATGTATTTCAATACTTATAGTGGAGGACATATAGGGCGAGTACAGTTTGTATTGGTGTATATTTATAACATATACTCCACTTGCGTTACATACCAACTATATTTATTTTGATTCTTGTTACTCAATAAGTACTTATCCTATAGCATATTTTATGTAGATTTAAAATACATTACATAAAAATACATTTAAGATAAAACGTTCAATCATTATCTATTTTACATGCTAGTTAAAAATGGATGTTTGCTATTTGAAAAATTTAAGTTGATAAAAAGTAATAAAATGAATAAGTAAACAATTAGGGAATACTTAAAATTCACTTAATCAATCAAATCGAAAAGTAAATACAATATTATATTTGTTTTTCGATTAATTATGTAGCCAATAATGAAAAAATATATATTAATATATAATATAATATGTTATACATTAATCGAGCAATAAAAATGTAGATTATCTTAGCCTTTTCTTTCTCATTTTCCAACCCTTTTGCGAGAGGTCTATTAATTTTGCCGTCAATTAACCAGGCTTTATATTTTAATTAATTTCTCTACGCTGGTTGAGTTTTTTGTTATACATTTATTCATAATAATATGTACAAAGAATAATAATAACAATGGCATGTTATAAATATGTATACATTTTAATCAAGGGATAGACACTAAAATTTTGATTGATGTTAAGCGATGAAAAACGGTCATGTAACAGTATGATAAGTTTGATAATGGGTCTAAAAATTTAATTAGGTAGCTTATTTAGCTGTTAATTTAAGATTTAAGAAATTAATTGACGAACTATGAATTCTTGAATATGAAAAATCGTTTTGATATAATTTTTTAATTTAATAAATATTTAAAAAAATTTAATTTTGTACACGTTCCATGTTTCTGTTTGTTAAATTATATTCTCCTAATTGATCACTTGTCTTATAAATTAAACAAAATTGATATATCAGCGTATGGTTTCCGTCGAACGTAAATACAATCTTTTCCTACTTTTTACAGGCGCCAATTTTTCCTCATTTATTCAATATCTAACACGTAAGTATATTTATAGTGCGCGTTGGTAACACAAAACTATAGTTAAGAAACTGATATTAATATTATAAGTGATTCAAAATAAGTTATTTTTAAGATAATTAATATATGTGTGGATAATCAAACGTGTAATGTACATTGTAGTTAATAATTAGGAAGTGTACTATTTCAATTGAATTTAATTTTCATCTCGCGAATGAATGCGTTTTATCAATATTGTATAGTATATTTTTTTGTTAGTTCAAATTGTTTATTTTATTTCAATTATTTTAAATTAAAAATCTAAAAGTGTTTTGCTTATTTTCGATGTAACAAAAATAGTGTTATTTTTATAAACGTTTCGTTTTAATTACAAAATCCACTTTTTTTTTTTTTTAATCGATTAGGTGAAATTAAAATGTGATTTTCATTATATAACTTTTCTTAATTCGTCAAGTTATGATGTTTTATTAAATCGATGATGTTCTGGCGATAACAAACCATTTAGATGTATTTCAATTTCGGCTAAGTATTATAAACGGAAAAATTATATAATTGATTAAACTCAGTGTACGTGTAGCAATAAAATCACTGTTTAACTTTTGATGTAATTAATTTTTATGAAAAAGTTTAATTGGGTTTCTAAAGCGATGTTGATTCATTGAAATCAAATCAAAAGTCTCATTTATTGAATTTTAATATCAAATATCGGTTAATCTTTTCTGTTATGGCTAAAAAAGTCAGTGTTTTTGTACCGTATTAACAATATTTTCTAGTTAACTTTTATAAAACGGGAAAAAAATTCCAAGACACTTTATTTTTAAATTACGAAAATTAATACTTGTCAGTAACAGTAAGTACATTTTCTAGAAAAAAATTTCTCCTCTCCAGACGTTTTGGAGTTTTTATTTAGTATAATCGCATCTAAAGGGTATACTACTGATCGGCCGACGTTAAAATGAGCTTTTGCAGGCAGATATCCTCCGACGCGTGATTGATAGGTTACTGGAGTTATTAAGCGAGTAATCCTAGATTCGAACGGCTTACTTAAAAATCGTTTAATTATTAACGAACGAATAACCGGAAGGAGGAGTATTATGCAAATAAAAGTTAATCGTGTTGCTAACAAAAAATGCGGCTGTCAAAAACGATAACATAATAAAAGATCAGGTTATGCGACGAGCAAGTTTAATTAGGATAAACTGTTTATGCTCGTCTCGTGTATTCGCCGCGTAATTGTTCGTATGCGTATACAGGTGGTCGATGTCGCGACAAGCAAACAACACAATCGCATAGCTTCAGGGCCGTGCAGCTTTTTTATCATAGTTTTTATTTATTTGTCAGTTGCGCAGAGGCCTACGCGACGGGCTTTATTTTATTTGACGTGTTTTTTTGTACTCCAGGAACAGGTTTTTGTTTGTTTTAAATCGATTTATAAACGTTAACTGTTATGAAATTGATGTTCACAGAACCTCCGACATTGACGGTCAAACCGAGATCTCAACAGGCTAAAAACAATGCGGTGGCCTCGTTTTACTGTGGTGCTAAAGGCGACCCACGGCCGACTATTCAATGGCGGAAAAACAACAAGAAGATATCGGAATCAAATCGTTACATTGTTGTGGACAGAATTGTCGGTGACAGCGAGACTGGCTCAGTGTTGAGAATAGAGCCCACTAGATCGCATAGAGATAATGCCGTCTATGAATGTTTTGCTGAAAACGGCGTGGGCGATGCTGTCAGCGCTAACGCTAAACTTGAAGTATTCGATGGTAAGTTATTGCTTTTCGTAGTCGTAGAATTATGGAATTTGGTTTTCCATCTGGAAATGTATTTATAATTGATGATATTTCATTTAAAATGACCAAAATTCAAGTTTAAAGTCCTATTAAAAGAAAACTGCTCGCAAACGATGTATATACGAATATATATTCTTAATTACCATTTATATATTGGGTTCGTAAAATCTGTCCAATTTTATTTTAATATATTTGATAATATATTATCACATATAATATCCTGATTTCAGAATATCGTGTGTGTTTGACTTGCCCGAAAATGTTCACTGTCGTTTACCTTAAAAATGTTTCCTCTTCTCATTTCTTCAAGTACTATCATCCGTTCCGTCTGCCAAGTATTTGCGTGCATCCAGCTTTTACTGTTTGTCTCTGCTAGCCGTTATCCGTGGAAATGTGTGTAGAAATCTAACACGTCCGAGGAGGGAGGGCAGCGCATTTCCTATTCGAAGTTAATCATGTAGAAGTTTACAATAATATAAAATTCCCTTTTACTCGATTTGCCGGAAGCGCAGTATTTCTGTGTCAAAAAACACATTCCCCGCACCGCCACCCGATCGGCGTGTGTATTTATCTTGCGTAACGTCAAAGGCACGGCGTTCAAAGGAATTCGTATGGTTTTTTCTCACCATTCTTTCCGTTTTCGTTTTTGGCTCGCTCGCTTTGATAACACCAACCCCTTCTCTCCGTTGTTTCCAACGTTAATGATTCATCGGTTTGTCATACGTGAGGTGCGACAACAACAGAATGGAGCGGCACAGTATATATTATTAGTTACTTATACAGGACACTTCATACCAAATACATTTCGCCGCATTCTCGGCCAAAAGAGCACTCTCCACTTCCTTTACTGCCAACCGAGGCGTCTAATTGAATTTCACGCAAACACTAGAAAATTCGTTTTGGCCGAACTATATGGACTCCATCAATGCGTATTGCGTTATTAATAATAATAACGTAATTGTGTTTGTAGTCTCTCCGGCATAGATCCCTCGAATCGCAACCCGAACTTTCTCAATAATAATAATAACAGTTAATCCTTAATTACTATGCGCGATTTAGATATCCTGTTTCAGAGCTTCTGGGAAACCCAAAATACACTTAGCCAGAGGCTATCTTACTGTTCATTTACTTGTTTTAATTTGGCTGTTTTCATTTTCTATAATTAAAGTTTAGGCTATTTTATTTTTTGTTTAAAAAAATTTATTAACAAATTTGCGTATCACTCGTTTTATAAATATATATCTATACCAAATTTTCAGCAATTAAATTACTTATAAAGTGTATGCAATATGAACAGTTTTGTACGATCACGATTGCTTAGCGTTCTATGATTTTCGTAAGCCCACGAGGTTGACTTTTCAAGTGTGAAAAGTTTTTCTTACTACCAACGACCTGCTTTAGTCGTTCTCCTCCTTTTCTGATTCAATGGAAAAAAGTTGCCGGCCATTAGAGGTGTATAACAACAAATCACATTAAAAACCGACCAGATGCGACCTCGGTGCAGAAGGTAACAGCAAATTGTGGGATAGGTAAGAGGGATAAAAATGGCGAAGAAAATGAAAATTAATGGGAGAAAGTTAAAAGACCGTGGCGACGACCTGCCCGGTAATTTTTCCAGCATGCAGAAGAACTTGTGTGGAGATGACGCCGCTTTTTTCACCCTCCTTCTCATTTATATTTTTGCAGGTTTGGTGTTATTATAAAGTTTACACGCCCGAGAGTTGATTGATACTAAGTGAGTAGTCTGTGATTAAGAAAATGACACGATCGTTTATCACACGCAAGTAGTTAAAATCAACACTAGTTCATAGTTCGTTTGTGCGTTATTCATTCGACAATTATATGAAAAATGCAAATTATACATTTATATAAGCAAATAAAAAAATATTGATATTTTACGTTTGGCGAGGTAAAAAGAAAAAGTCAATATGTCAAGTGTTATTTTATATTAATAAAGCAGATATTGCTATCTGACTTTTAATTAAAATGAGAATAGTCATGAAAGTGTATTTACGTAATGAATCGCAATTTAATGTCATACGAAAAATGTCGGTCAGAATAAACTATGTCATATTAAAGATGTAATGAGCATATTCATTAATTTAATTGTCTTTGTTAAAGTTTGAATATTTTTGTTAAACAAAATAAGGTTTTCCTATAATGACTATTTTACTGTACAACCCCTCTATGATGTAAATACAATTTTCATGAATATTTTTTATTAGTAACACAATTTTAAAAATGCGTTACTCGTTTTAAATAAGAAATTCAATTGTTTAAAAATGAATTGAACTTCTTATTCTTATTACTCTAAATAACTGTTTACATAATTACATAGTTGTTTTTTTTAATAAAAACTATAGTCTAACAAAGATGGCCCCTTAATTAGTCCAATTTCGAAAAGTGAGCATCTCATATTTTAAATTGAGTAACTATCATACTAAGTAATTAATTAAGTAAATATAGTAGAATCAGAAGTAATTTATTGGAAAGATTAACAACTAAGTTATGAAAGATGATTTTATAAACTTTCACTTCAATTAAAAATTGATTTTGTTAAACCTTATTATATTTTCTAGAGAGATTTATTTAAATAACGATCATTTTTAAAAGCTATCATTAAATATACTCGTAAAATAATAATAGCATCGTTTTGAATATAACAGAAATAATTGTATTTAAAACATCAACTCGAGAGGGTTGTTCAGGGTACCATCGTAAAAAATTCATTAATAAAAAAAATAGACTTTTATTCATTTCCTTTTTAAAAAGTCTTATAAAAGCAAAAATTTGTTTTTTTTTTAAATTTTCTAAGTATCTATATAGTTATAGCTAATTTTATCATATAAACGTATTTTTCTTACACTGATTTATAATTACAGTCATATTTAATTAAAAATATTCTCATATAGTTTGGGTAAATTTATAAAAAATTTAACTGTATTTTGTACTTTCAAAAGATAATTTTTCTTTTGTTTTAAGCGAGAAGGAAATAAAAAGAATTATTCAGATGGTTGTAAAATAATTTATTGGCATTAGAGCTTTATTAAAACTATTTTACTTCAATAATTGTCATTTATATTTAATAGAAACTTCTTGACACCATTCCGTTTTAAGCATTTTTATGGTGCGTTATATATGCATTCATACAAAAAATATTTTCATTTTTTCTTTAGTTCATTACAAATAGTTTAATTAAAATCAATTTTATGTACATTAACTGTGAATTTACTGATCAAAATGCTACATTGTGTATATTTTTTGTATGTATACCAAGAGAATATTTTTGAAAATTTCGTCTGTAGGGCCGAGATTAATACACAGATTGTCAATGCAGAAAATTTTTTTTTCTCGGAAGTTGAAATAAATAATGCTGCATTTATTTCTCTCCGAAGATTAAATAGAAAAATACAATGATATGTAACCGCGTAATGTATAAAAATTAATATGTTATATTCAGCAAACATAAAATAACGTGAAGTGCTCGACCAGCTAAGGCAAATCGAAAAGCAGAACGAAGCAAAAGAAATGTATAATATTATATTCCAAAACCGCTTTCGTTTGCTTGTTTGTTTTACATGCATATAAAGTAATCTGTTCATTATATTCAATTCAATAAAAACAACTATGTACATGTTATTTTAAATTAACCGTTTTATATCATTGTTTACTTCTTGACGTCCTTAAATGTCTTTCTTCGTTCTCATTTTCTTAATGCAACTATAAAGTAGAGACTATTATGACTCACCTTGTTGTTGAAAGTTCATTGTGGCGAAGTTGTGTAACGAGTGGGGCGATATGCAAAAAACACATGAGTGAACTATGATTGTGCGTGTCCGAACCTCAAGACACGAAATATTATATTCCTTTCGACAGTTTCGCGCTATAAGTTACAGTATATTACCTTTGTAATTAGCTATTAAAGCTTCATTCATGATTAATTATATATTTTCATAAAGTTGCACCAAAAAGTTATCTCAAACTTTTTAACAGTTGACCTAAATGCATATATTTTTTAATGTTGTAAGTTTAGAGATTAATTGTCTGAGATTTGAAAAAAATTTTATAGAAATTTTACTGCATATTTAATTTACTTTATTCAAAGTGTGTTTCATAGTTGTCACGTGGAACGTTTTAAGTAGGTTTGTATACAAGATGTTTCAGCCTATTCTGAAAAATCCTATAACTTTTGATTATCTAAATATTTTTTGTAACCTTTTTTTTTTTTTTTTTT